CCATTGTAGGTGCTCAAAAATACTTGCTGAATTCAATCATGGAGTTTCAGCCCTATACTCCGACAACCGCAGGAACTGAACTGAAAAGCAACCTCTGAGGCCCATCCGTCAGATTAAGGCAATGTTTCTCAAACTTTTTTTCATTGTCATTCCCCTAAAGATTCTTTATTAGCTACATACCCCATGAAATTTTAATTCCACAGATAAATTGTACATCTGCTTATGTATTGTATTTTATACCTGTACTTTATTCATAAAGAGTAAGATTTATTTTCTTCCCCATAAATCAATGTTTACTCTCTTGGGAATACTGCTCCCACTAAGAATGCAGGGATTAAGCGCACAACTGCCATGTGCCAGTTGCTGGGTTGGACATTTGTTCTGCTTCATCTTATTCCATTCTTACAACTGTATTACACAGTATGCATCACCAACCCTATAAGACTGAGGATGAATCTGAGGTTCAGAGAGGGTTGTGGCTTATCCTGTGTCACACAGCTTGTCAGTGGCAGAGCCAGTCTTCAAACTCGGGTCTGTGAGGCTTTAAAGCTAGTGCTGTTCTGTTTCCTTGCACAGAGAAATAACATGCGCAAGCTCACCTCGTGGAGAAGAGGTGATCTGGAACCAGACGTGTAATCCCAGCATTTTGGGAGGCCAAGGTGAGAGGATCGCTTGAGCCCAGGAGATTGAGATCAGCCTGGGTGACAGAGCGAGACCCCATCTCTAAAAGAAAAAAAAAAAGAGGTAATTTGGGAATTTAATTTAATTCTTAAATTAGGTCTTCTGATTCCAACTTCAGTTTCTTTTTACCCAATACATTGCCTCAAAAATATCTTTAGGCTACTTGACAAACTCACTGGGTATAAAAATCAGTGTCTTGGACTATCTCAAGAGGGAAAGGAATATAAAAGGGACAGAAAGAGGTACCTGATGGATTGATTGGGAGACTTTGGTCTAAGCTACAGCACCAGGGTCAGAGAGTAGTTAATGTAACATAGAAATCAATTCACTGGGCTGTCACCTGCTGGTCTGGTTTGGTTTGGAGTCACAATGAAGGCACAGGTAGTTTGATCTAAGGCAGTCCTGCCCAACAGAAATATAACACAAGCTTTCAATGCAAACCACATAGGTAATTCGACATTTTCTGGTAGCCATATGAAAAAAGCAAAAACAGCAGCAACCAATTTTATTCATGTATCTTATTTAACCCATTGTATCTAAAATGTAATAATTTTGATACATAATCAATATAGTTATTATTATTATTATTGAGATGGAGTTTTGCTGTTGTTGCCAGGCTGGAGTGCAGTGGCACGATCTCGGCTCACTGCAACCTCCACCTCCCAGGTTCAAGCGATTCTCCTGCCTCAGCCTCCCGAGTAGCTGGGATTACAGGTGTGTGCCATCACCCCTGGCTAATTTTTGTATTTTTAGTAGAGACAAAGTTTCATCATATTGGTCAGGCTGGTCTCAAACTCCTGACCTCAAGTGATCCACCCGCCTCGGCCTCCCGAAAGTACTGGGATTATAGACGTGAGCTACCGTGCCCGGCTATCAATATAGTTATTAATAAGATATTGTGCATTCATTTTTCGTGTGTATGCTAAGTCTTCAAAATCTGGTGTGAATTTCACACTCACAGCATATCAGAGTTTAGAATAGCCACGTGTCAGATGTTCAATGACCAGATCTGATGAACGGCTACTGTACTGGCCTGTGTGGGCTGAGACATTGCATCAGGATTGGAGTATGGTCACAGGAACATACAATCTGATCTGCTGAAATGCCACAGCCTGCCTGGGCCTGTCTGCTGCAATGACTCAGGAACAAGTAGTTTAGTCTAGGAGAGGCTCTCAACGGGATCCAATAAAAAGGGAGTGCAGACATGGCTGGCTACATGATGTATGGGGCCCAGTGCATAAAATAAATATTCGAGGTCCCTTGTTAGAAAATGGTTACAAATTGCAAGCCAGTGACATGGGGGGATCTTCTGAACACAGGACCCTGTGTGACCATGTAGATCACAAACCCATGAAGCAGGCCTTAGGTACAGAAGGAAAAAAAAAACCCTCCAGGTTTACCCATCACTGACCAAGGCGAGGGTGCTGGGATCACATTTGCAGCAACAAATACAATTAACAGCAGCAACAGCAGACACTTACTTTAGGCCAAACCCTGTTCTAAGTTCTTTAGATATCATAATACCCATCAGAACAACCTTCTGATACTATAATTATCCACTCGTAGCAAAAAAAAAAAGGAAACAGATCACAGAGAGGTTGAGTGATTTGCCCAACATCACACAGCCATGTAGTATCTTTAGTACTAAATTTCACAAAACAGGGCGTTGGGGCATAATGTGGCCTGGACTTACATCTGGCTCTGCCTCTGTTTTCTCCACTGGAAAGTGGGTGTGATAGAGCTGTCCCATCCCCAAGCTGCCCTGAGGATGAAATGAGATAATCCACGCACAAAGCTAAGCAGAGTGTCCAGCCTGGGCACTGGAAAATCTTCAAACCCACATAAAAGTTATGAACGTAGTTCCACAATGCCTGTAATCCTAGAAACTGTTAACATTTTGCCACACTTGTACCCACTCTATTATCTATCTTCTGAATTATTTGAGAGTTAGTTGTGGATGTTGTGATATTTCATCCTTAAATCCTTCAGCCTGTACCTTCTAAGAACGAGACTATTCTCTTATATAACCTAGTACAAATGATCTGTGATACGAAGTCACTCTCATGAAGGTATCATTAATAAACTACTATTGTCTTTTATTTATTTATTATTGGCCTATTCACATGAAAATACTATTATCTAATATATAATCTATATTCAGATATTCCCACTTATCCCTAAAATGTCTTCAAATGATTTTTTGGTTTTTTTTGAGACAGGGTCTCGCTCTATCACCTAGGCTGGAGTGCAGTGGCATGATCATGGCTCATGGCTCACTGCAGCCTCGAACTCTTGGGCTCAGGTAATCCTCTTGCCTCAGCCTCCTGAGTAGCTGAGACCACAGGCACACATCACTATGTCCGGCTAGTTTATTTTTATATTTATTTTTTGTAGAGATGGGGTCTCGCTATATTCCTGAGGCTAGTCTCTAACTCTTGACCTCAAGTGATCCTCCTTCCTCGGCCTCCCAAAGCACTGGGATTACAGGTATGAGCCACTGAGCCCAGCCCACAAATGTTTTCTGTTCCCCTGATCCAGGCTTCATCCTAGGATCAGACATTGCATTTGGGCTCATGGCTCTTTTATTTCTTTTAACCTGGAACCATTTCTCAGCCCTTTTGCCTTTTAAAAGACATTGGCGTTTTAAGAATCCCAGCCAGTCATTTTGCATGTAGTTGCGTGCATAGTTTTCTTTATGTCCTTGCAAAATGAAGTGCAGCTCACGGGCAAATGTGGGGAAAGAGGTTGGTTGGACACGTGATGTCAGAGGCTCCAAGTGATTTCAGCAGGTAGAGGAGGGCGTATAGTGTTAGCTGTTCTTGGGTGGAAATTAAAGATTTCCGGGAAGCAGTGACAGGGGATGTTTAACGATGATTAGCACTTAGCAGGTAGACAGGGGCGGTCGTGGCAGACAGAGGCCAGGGCAGGGGAAGGGGGATGGCAGCCCGGAGGAAATGCAGGCAGCAGCAGTGTGTCTGAGTGTGAGAGTATCACGTGTGATCGGGTCTGTTCCTACTTGAACTGGAAACTTCCTGAGGCCAGTCCTTGTCTCCAGCTCTATCCTCTCTGCCAGGGTGCCCAGGGCAGTGCCTACTCCGGAGTCAGGGTTCACTTAGAGCAACTAGCTGCCAAGTTTCCCAAATACCCAGGGACATGCAAAGCACAGAGGACCCCCTTCCTCCACCAGCGGCCTGGCTACCAGCTTGCACACACCAACCGCAGGAGCTTCAGCGGCAACCTGTCAGGATTCCACATCTTGCCCTGCAAATGAAATTGCATTTTCTAAAATTGCTTTCTTCTGGTTGCCTCTTGGGGCATAGGCTGCTTCTGGGAAAAAAATTCAAAATGAACTTCTAATCAGCCACAAGATGTGAAGAGAGCGGCTGTCCAGAGCTTCCTGATATCTACTCTTGGCGTGAGCCGCCCAGGCTGTCAACCGAGATTCTCACTGCAAACTCTGTCTGAAATGCCCAGTGACAGCGCCCCCTGAGCCTTCCATTCCCCTGAGTTTCAAAGAGAAAGGGGTGTGTGTGTTTGTGCTGTTCTTGTCCTTAGAATGAAGGGAAAGGATTTGTTTTTTTTTTTTTTTTGAGACGGAGTCTCGCTGTGTCGCCCAGGCTGGAGTGCAGTGGCGCGATCTCGGCTCACTGCAAGCTCCGCCTCCCGGGTTCACGCCATTCTCCCGCCTCAGCCTCCGAGTAGCTGGGACTACAGGCGCCCGCCACCACGCCCGGCTAGTTTTTTGTATTTTTAGTAGAGACGGGGTTTCACCATGTTAGCCAGGATGGTCTCGATCTCCTGACCTCGTGATCCACCCGCCTCGGCCTCCCAAAGTGCTGGGATTACAGGCTTGAGCCACCGCGCCCGGCCGGGAAAGGATTTGTTTTGGGGCTTGAACAAAAATGCCTTTTCAAGGTGACTCTCACTTCATTTCCTAAGACCAGATGCAGGAAGACTGTGGTGTTGCGAGCCTACTGATGAGAGCAATTCCTTATCTCATCATTTCTATATCCATCTTTCATTATTTTGTCCCCACTTTAAAGGGTCTCCTCCTGCTGTGTTCACAAAGCATCCTTGAAAAATCTGTGATGTACATTTGTGTGTCCACACAGAGAGCCAGGCACATGTGCACACAGGTACACAGGTGCACAAGGGTGTGTGCCCACACAGTTGCACACCCCAACACCACAGATAACAGGCACTGACACTGGCACCACCTCCCCATGCCAGAAGATACATACACACGTAAGGATGCACACGTGCACACGCACACACACGTGCACATGCACACACAGACACACATATACATTTGCACTCACGGTGCCTGGTAGTCGGAGTCCTGTGGCGAGCTCAGCTCGCCTGCTTAAAATGCCTTCTCTATGTCATTCTGCAGAGGCCAGGAATGCAGCTGGCTGGGTTCATCCTAAGAGGTGCTGTTGGGCACCAGCTCCCTCCTCAGGAGGGTGTTCTGGATTTCCAGGCAGTCCCAAAACATGGGCACAGGTAGAGGAGACAGAAAAGGGCCCCTTGGAAGCAAAGCAGGTTTGGGAAAAGGATGCGCTCAGCTGGAACCCGGCAAATGCACAAGGGAGAGGAATGGAGGGAAGGTGAAGGAGGAGGGGAGAGACAGAACGTGAGAGACTGAAAGATGGATTCAGAAAGAGAAGGGTTTTCAGACAGAAACAGAAAAAATACAACACAGAAACAAAGATTAACAGAGGCAGCAACAGAGAGATAAACAGAGAGAAAAAAATAGAATACAGATTTTTAAGAAGATGTTTCAAACCCAGCTAGGTTTAAGCCAGAAGGAAAAGCCACATCATTTCAGACCTTGTAAAATAGGCTATCTCCCTCCCCTTTTTCCTTCCAGGGGCCTCTTCCTAGGTTTTTTTTTTTTTTTTTAAATCAGGCTCAGGAAGCCCTGAAGGGACAAAGCAGAAATCCAGGGCTTCAGATGCCTAAATGGTTTTCCCAGAAGTCTGCTGTTGCGGTGTTGCAGATGCAGCCACAGCCAAGACGGGGCTCCGGTGCGGGGGCGTCAAGTCATCTCCAGGACACCCAAGGCAGAGGGGCTGCTCTGGCTCCCATGCTCCACCTGACCCTGTCTGGGGGGTTGGGGAGGAACCTAGGGGAGCAATTACCCAACTCCCCCATTGTAGCCCATGCTGGGTCAACGCGGGTCCACAGGGGGTCCAGAAGAGGAAACGAGGATGGTCACAAGATGGGGAGGGGGCATGGGGGGGGCAGAGAGCCCTCGGTCACATGCTGCTCATCAGTTACCATGACGACGGCAAGGGGGTGGAGGCACCCAGAATGGAGGCTGCAGGAGAGACACACTGGTTCTAAATCACCGTGACAGCGCTTCGGTTGAGCTATTACGCCGTTGCCGAGGCAACCAATGGGATCAAATCGCAGAGGAAATCTATAATTATTACAAGCCAGATACCGGCATCCTCGGTGCAGTAATCAGCACGTTAGGGCAATTCAACCTGAGCTCTGAGAGGGAGAAACGTCAGCCCCCAGCCCCCAAATCGGGGCAGAACAAGGACCAGAGGGGACTCCACAGAGCAGATCTGTTGATGCTGCAGATTGGGAACCTGGAAGGATCTTTTTGGCCAAATAAAACATAAATTGAGGAGAACCACATGAAATTGACAATATTCACCAGTGAGCCACCGCGCCTGGCCCATTTCCCATGATTTTAAATGAAACTTTCCAATGCACAGCAAAGCCGAAAGAATTTTACAGTAAATCCCTATATACCCACCACTAGCCTCCACCATTCACATGATTACCACCTGTGCTTTATCACATTCTGTGTTTGATGCATTTCAAAGTAAACTGTAGACATCAGTATCCTTCCCCCCAAAATATTTCAACCTGTATAAAATTAAGCACTTGGTAATTTTTAAAACAAAAATAGTAATTTCTTTCTTTTCTTTTTTTATGAGACGGAGCCTTGCTCTGTCATCCAGGCTGGGGTGCGGTGGCACCATCGTGGCTCACTGCAACCTCAGTCTCCCGGGTTCAAGTGATTCTCCTGCCTCAGCCTCCTGAGTAGCTGGGACTACAGGTACAAGCGACTACACCCAGCTAATTTTTGTATTTTCAGTAGAGACGGGGGTTTCACCATGTTGGCCAGGCTGGTCTCGAACTCCTGACTTCGAGTGATCCACCCTTCCCCGCCAGCCTCCCAAAGTGTTGGGATTACAGGCATGAGCCACTGCACCTGGCCAAAAATAGTAATTTCATATGGTTCAATCTAAAGACAATAAAGTCTAGGTTTCTGTTTTTTTGTCTAATCTTTCATCCATCTAGCCTTCTCTCCCTCCATCTCTCCAACTATCTTCTCTTCCTACCCATCCATTTTTCCATCCATCCATCCATCCATCCATCTTCCCATCCATCCATCCATCCATCCATCCATCCATCTTCCCATCCATCCATCCATCCATCCATCCATCCATCCATCCATCTACCCACCCACCCATCGCTGGGAGAACTCATGCACACTCATGGTTCCCACAAATGATTCACTATCCCCAAATCCTCTCCCTGGTTCAGTAGGATGTCCTTCATATCAAGTGCAATATGTTCTCACAGTTATCATCACCTTCTCCTCACTACACCTATTTCCTTTCCTATGTTGAGCATCTCCATTAACAGACCCACTGGCTACTCATTTGTTTAAACCAGAAACTCAAGAAATCTGATTCCTCCTTCCTGTTATCTTCCTTCACCACCACACCACAGAATTTGACTTCTGCGGTAGCTCTGGGCCCCACCCTTTCCCTCTTTCCTTTGTCCTTGTTTGGGTACCCATTGTTTCCTACCTGGACAGCTGCCCCCACCTCCTGACGGACCCCCAGCTGCCATCTCACCTTTCCTCTGCTTTCTCCACACTGACTTTTTATCATGAAATATTTGGCCATATTCATGATGCAGGAGAACTGGCGCTTCATTCATTGCTGGCAGGAGAGGAAATTCATACAAATGGCTTGGAGAGCAATTTGTCAAAATCTGTAAAATTGTAAGCGCACAGACCATTTATCCCTAGCATAATTCTACTTGAAGGAATTTGCCTCATTTATATAAACTGAAAATCACCTAATTGTCCATCAGTGGGAACTGGTTAAAATAAACTGGGGTACATCCATCACGCAGAATAACCTGTATTCGACAAAAAGAAGGCGATGGCGCTTTCCGTACTGATGTGGGAAAGTGATTAATGTTGGTTGCTGGTTGTAATAAATGTTGGTCTTCTCTCTTGTTCTAAAGACTCCTGTAGAAACCACCTAACCAGAGAGTGAGGTAAATACAGAAACACACTTTGGAGGCTTGGAAAGTTGAGAGAATCCAGAAGGTTGGTACAAGAAGGCCTAGTTCTAGTTCCTGCTCAGATGTGAAGGTGCTTGCTCCTGAGCCTACTTCCTCTCTCTCTCTCTCTCTCTCCCCCACCCCCTCTCTCTCTGAGCAGCCTTCTCTCTCTCTCTCTCTCTCTCAGCAGCCTCAACCTCCTGGGCTCAAGCAATCTTTCCATCTCAGCCTCCTGAGTAGCTTGGAGACGACAGGCATGCACTACCACCCCTGAGTAATGTTTTTATTTTTATTTTTGTAGAGACGGGGTCTCGCTATGTTGCCTAGGTTGGTTATGAACTCCTGGGCTCAAGCAATCCTCCCACCTCGCCTCCCAAAGTGCTGGGATTAAAGGTGTGAGCCACTGTGCCCAGCCTCTCATCTCCCTAAGGGGCTGACCATACCTCCCACGGTCATTCTGAAGATCAAATGTCGACATGGAGGTAAAAATGGCACGCGAAAGTCTATCTTGCTAAACAAATGAGAGTTACTGTTATTCATTTGTCTTCAGAGTTTACTTAGCCCCCTTCTGAATACTAAACATCCCTAACACATGTAACAAAAGCTATAACCTTTATTTGTGTTTGAGCACTTGTTTGGTGCTAGGACTGAGCTAAGTACTTTCTATATATTATCTCATTGATTGAAACAGTGCTTTTGTGCTAGGGATTTTTCCTTCCATTTCACAGATATTAGTGGAGGCACACAGAGGTTACCTGGCTGGGCTTGGTGGTTCACCCCTGTAATCCCAGCACTTCGGGAGGCCAAAGTGGGCGGATTCCTTGAGCTCAGGAATTCAAGACCAGCCTGGGCAATATAGTGAAAGCAGGTGTCTACCAAAAAAATACAAACATACAAAAATCAGCTAAGAGTGGCGGCACACGTCTGTAGTCCCAGCTACTCAGGTGGTGGAGAAAGGATGGCTTGAGCTTAGGAGGCAGAGGTTGCAGTGAACTGAGATTGTGCCACTGCACTCCAGCCTGGGTGACAAAGTGAGACCCTGTCTCAAAAAAAAGGTTAACTGACTGTTCTAATAGCATACAGGGAGTACTGCTACCCCGATAAGCCCCTACATCTTTCTGATTGCCACGTCCACGCTTTTCTCATTCCTTAACCATTGCTACTTTCTATATCATGCCTTTAGACCTGTACTATTGAAAAAAAATATAGGCCTGGCGTGGTGGCTCACGCCTGTAATCCCAGCGCTTTGGGAGGCCAAGGCAGGCGGATCATTTGAGGCCAGGGGTTCGAGACCAGCTTGGCTAACATGGTGAAACCCCGTCTCTACTAAAAACACAAAAATTAGCTGGGTGCGGTGGCAGGCACCTGTAATCCTTGCTACTCTGGAGGCTGAAGCAGGAGAATCGCTTGAACCCAGGAGGCGGAGGTTGCAGTGAGCTGAGATCATGCCACTGCACTCCAGCCTGGGCGACAGAGTGAGACTCCATCTCAAAAAAAAAAAAAAAAAAAAAAGAAAAGAAACAGATGAAATTCATTTTTTAGAACACACGGAAAAAGGCAAAAATCAAAAAAAGATAAATAATACATTAAAAAATAAATCACTAAAAATAAAGAAATTAATATTAATTCTATTTAACCTGATGTGTCCTCAAAATCTCATCATTTCACCATGTCATAAATTAGCATAAAACTAATTACTATGAAAACGAATTAGTGAAATGTTAATATTGTGATATCCTTTTTGGCATACCAAGTCTTCAGAATTCGATGTGTGTTTTACGCTTACAGCACATCCCTGTTCAGACGAACCCCATTTCAGGCACTTGGTAGCCAGGTGTGACTCACTGGAAAATGTAGCTAAGGTGGGACTGACATACACCTAAAGTGAGACTAAACCTTAAATAACAATACTGGCCACCGTTTATTGAGCACCTCTGTTTATTCTCATGAGTCTGTGGAGTAGGTGCTCTTACAAGCTACAGAGGGAGAAAATAAAGCATAGGTAGTTTAGAACATGCCCCAGATCTTGGAGCTATTTACCTGGGGAACTGCAGTTTGAACCAAAGCCCAAAGCTCATCCAGCAACCTGGCTTCTTCTGTTCTTGCCAATGAATGCCGAATATTTATTACATGTCAGTCATGTGTCTGTAAAATTTAAATCCCTAAGAAAAGAATTTAATCTGTGGCAGTTAATTTTAAAGAATTTGATTGGCCAGGTGCACTGGCTCACACTTGTAATTCCAGCACCTTGGGAGGCAGAGGCAGGGAGATTGCTTGAGCCCAGGAGTTCAAGACCAGTCTGGGCAACAAAGTGAGACACAGCCCTGTCCCTGAGTCCCCCCACCTCCGCCACCCCACCACCGCCATCCCTGTCTCTACAGAAAATAAAAAACCATAAGCTAGGTGTGGTGGTGTGCACCTGTGATCCCAGTTACATGGGAGGCTGAGGCAGGAAGATCCTTTGAGCCCGGGAGTTTGAGGCTGCAGTGAGCTACGATCATACCACTGCACTCCAGCCTGGGCAACATGGCAAGACCCTGTCTCTTGAGTTAAAAAGTATGCAACTAATTCTGAACTTCTGACCAGCGTGAGACCTTAAGAACTGATAATAAACCAAACAATTAATTTCTCTCTCCTAGCAAGTCTCCTTTTGTCTAGATGGGATGAGAATTAGAGGGAATGATCAAGTTCAGGCTTCCACCCTCCAGAGCAGCTACCCGTAGGAACACAAGGCAGACTTCATTCTTTCATGGGATCACATCTCAGGAAGTCCACTGGTTCCAGCTTTCTCCTCCTACTCAGGCCAAGTCTGACCACTGATTTTAATTATGACATGCAAGTACTGGCAAGATTCTCTTGGAGATGAGGATGGCGGTGATGATTTCGTGAGTTTCATGACTGGTTCTGGGATGATAACCTGGG